CCCGTAATATAGAGTGATATCGACGTGTTATGACAACGCGTCGCGTTTTGTCAAAATCCTGACTTCGGGTCAACGAAACTATCTGTTGCCCGAAGACTTCGGACCCATGATTCAGGACGTGATCGACTCACACCCGGGGCTCGCCTTTTTGAAAGAGGCCGAAGAGTTTCACTCGCGTTACGTCCATACAGTGATCGCCAGAATATTCTATTGCGTGAACAAGTCGTGGACGGGAAGGATATCATTGCCTGAACTGAAAAAGTCTAACTTTTTGCAAGTCGTGTCACTTCTCGAAGAGGAGGACGACATCAACCAAATCACTGATTATTTCTCTTACGAACACTTTTATGTGATTTATTGCAAGTTTTGGGAGTTAGACAAAGACCACGACCTCTTCATTAGTAAAGCCGATCTCAGCCGACATAACGACTCCGGTATTTCATTCACAACTTTTATTCATTGCATTTGATTTTAACGTTAAATTTATTTTTCCCTATATTTTGACAGCAATTTCCTCGCGAATGATTGACCGGATATTTTCAGGGGCTGTCACTCGGGGTCAGACCCGAAAGGACGGCCTCATGTCGTACTCGGAGTTCGTTTGGTTCATACTGTCCGAAGAGGACAAACGCCACCCGCGGTCTATAGAGTACTGGTTTCGGTGCATAGATCTGGACGGCGACGGCTTCCTATCGATGTATGAATTGGAGTACTTCTATAGCGAACAAACCAAACGCATGGAAGCCATTGGCATCGAAGCCCTCCCTTTCAACGATTGTTTGTGTCAAGTGAGACATTCATTCACTTCTATTACACATACGTTTGCTTTGATCATCAATTATTAGCTGAGCAAAAAACTGCTGACACTTTTACATACATCCGCTAATCCTATCATGTGTTTGCTTTTTATTGTCTGTAAATTTATGAGTGATTTATAATTAACTGTTTTTGTTTATTGCTGTGATTTATGATATGGTTGTCGTCGCTGTCGAACCGATCAGATGCTTGATTTGGTTCGTCCGCAACAAACTGGAAGAATCTCGTTATCGGATCTGAAGAGATGTCGATTGACGCCCATATTCTTCGACACGTTCTTCAATTTGGAGAAATACTTAGATCACGAACAGAGGGATCCGTTCGCCTCCAACCGCGACGAAGACGGCCTAACAATGTCTGATTGGGACCGATTCGCCGCCGAAGAGTATGAGCTCTTAGTGGCCGAAGAAAGTGCACAACAAAACACCCAAAAGTAAATTTATGAGAAATATTAGGCGAAAATTCATTTTTAAAAACAACAAAACACTAAACGAGAAAAAACCTCTAAAATTCTCATAAATAAGTAAATAATAATTTTAATTTCAAAGACATTTTAGGGACAAAACAAGTGCTCATTAATTTCAATGACATTTATTTTGACAAAAAAAAGTTTTTTTGCACAAAATATATATAAAGTTTACATCACAACAACCAATACAACAAACTTTTTTTTATAATCCCAGTTATCAGTCATTTTATTACTATATTTATAGCAATTATCGTTTTATTATGATTAATACTGTGTTTGATTTTGTGTTAAGTTTATTGGACTTTACCGGTGAGAGCGGTTTCAATGACTATATGATAGCTTCGGGAAAATATGGTATTCGTGCCCGAAGTGCACATCCAGTCGGTGACGACGACTATGACTACGCAGACATTGCAGA